AAAATAATTTTTAAAAGTTCTTGATATAATACAAGTCAAATATTTGAGGATCAGCACAAACATGAGGGCATGGTAATGAAGACGTTGTATTGCTTAATAGGCACGCAAACAGAGAAAGGACGATTGTTTGGAAATTTTGTTTGGTGAAACCGAATAAAGATTAATCTGAAATTATACCGGTTGATTTAAGCAGAGTTCATAAGCGAACTGATCTTCAGCTCCGATTAATCCTCTTAGAATTTCCAACAGTGATGTGACAGAAATCATCATAGAATCATAGCATCCCTTAAATAAACATCCAAGCACTAAGGCAAGAATAGTTAGCAGCTGAAATCCTACCTAATTCTTATAAACAAATTTTGAGTTCTTAAATTAGTCATCTCATAATATGATTGGTCTCTCTAAGATAGTTGTAGCCGAGTCGGAGGTTGCCTTATTCTGAGAAAGTATGCATTATTTAATTCAAAAGTAAAGTATTGAAGTGGTTCGTATATGCATGTGCAGTTTCGATGATGGTAGGCACCGAGCCTCACAGAATGGAAAGAATTATGATGGAGGTGGGGAAAAAGATAAACAAGACAGTGTTCAGGAAGCCATCGTGAAAATCACAGTTTTGAAAGCAGTCTTCGCTAAGGCTATTCCGCATGCCCTAGCACATTTTCGTTTGAGCTATGCGAGTAAATCCACGAGTATAACGTATACTAGAAGATAGAGCTTTTGGAAAGTCATTCGTACTGTGATATTCATCTGGACGAGGTAACCGCTGTCAAGTTGGGTGGAATGGCCTATTCTAAGTGCCGATTGCGTTCTATAAGCCCCGCGAAAGACATCCGAAACCGATTAGAAGATGGTTATGCTTAAATAAATCCTATTTAAGTAGCATATCTTAAGCGACATAGTAGTGAATGAAGTGGATTTTAAATAAAGAGATACAGAGCTAGAAACTAGGATAGGGGGAAGAGGCGATAACAAATGTATAAAGCTAAGCATAAAATTGGTAGGGAAGATTGTCTGACCCTTTCAGATTAACAAAATGTATTTCTGAATGGCGCCTTTCGCTGGCGATGCTGGCGAAACGTCTAGAGATGCTCTAAATGAACGGTCTGATACTGGAGATTGCCAGTAAGATTGAAAAAAGTTGCATTCTATTTATGTAGTAAGTAATAATACACAAGCCGTGCAGTAAAGTAGCCACATAAATAATTAATATAAGCACATGAATAAGCGAGATGAATGTGCTTAGAACTCAAGATGCTAAACAACTGATTAGTAATGACAGAGGGAAAAGTACGGGGATGAAAATAAACGAATAATTGCCACTTTTATTTGCAAGCTAAGTAAATAAACGCCTAGGAAGAAAGTGCATTCGAAGCTATGATGGAAATATTGAATCACAAGGGCACCCTGGGAGCGAAAAAGATCCTTAATATAATGCAATAACACTACTTCATAAATAATTAAAATATCTTTGACATATATTGACCCCACTAAAATACCTGTATTCAAACCACTTTTGGCAGACGTATATATAAAAAAAATATAAAATGAATTTGAATAGTCATCGCTGCAACCATTAGTTATCATATGGCTCCTAGACTATAACCGTGAGGAAGTGAAAGTATAGATGAATCAGATCACTCAAAGAGTAAAATTCAAAATGGAAATTTATTATTGAAGATTTAATATACTGAATGTCAAGGTTATTTCTTAAACGGGACGGTCAAGAGAAGAATATTTATAAATAACTCGAGTACAGATATAATCCTTAATTTACAATCCCATCAAAACTACAAATTGTGCCCAGAATGTTAAATTGTATGATTATCAGAGGATTAAGGCAAATCTACATCCATTTAAGAATGGAAGAAATAGACGAATTAACAGATAATTTTCAAAAACTGAAAATTGAGAGAAGGCATATAAAGAAATATAAATGCAGTGCAAAGTAGAATGAAATAGAGGGGTATCAATAGTAAAAAGAGGATACAGAAAAAAACATACAAGGCCAATAATAAGGTGGAATATTCAGGCGATATCACAACAAAATAGAAAACTCTTCTTAAGAGAATTCATATTAGACATTAAAAACAAACTGGATTGTTTGGGACTTTATTGCATAGTATAGAGCGTCAATGAAGGCTCTGCATAAAAATGAATAGAGACAGATCAGAAATATCGAACCTATTGCACTGATTGGACGCTGAATCAACTGGAAAGCTAAAGAAAGATTATCCTTGTACGGAGAAAGTTCAAACAGAATATTGGAATAAAGCAGTAGTATCTAAATTTAACAAACGGCTGAAACAAATTGGAAGTAAACCAGATCAGGATCTATCTTTAACCAAAGAAAAATGGATTCGAAAGAAGAGGCAGACCAGGCACAATAAAAAATCAGAAAACGTAGGTGGTGAGTGCAGACAAAACGAGCGAATAATTAAACCTTTTGGAGGTCTAGCGACAAATGAACCTGGATAATGATAGCCTCAACCGTTATAATGATTTACCAATATGAGCAGAAGGATAAAAGCAAATCGACTACATATAGATCCAAGATACAGTGGGGAGAAGAGAAATAGGTTCTTGGTTGGTTAAGAGAATAGGAGCTGAATAGCCCAAACTGACCAAACCTGAATTTACGCCAGTTTGGTTGCCATATCGACAAAACAAGTAGTATATTGATGATGGCAGGATGAAAAAGCTTACTCTGGCGAGTAGGCACAGCTTCAATCACCTCCTTGATAAGATTGTATTGGCGAAGACGAAGTGCTGCATCAAGCGCAACGGCATGTTCACCAGCCAAAGATGCATCTCTTGCTGCAGTTGGGGTGATGGTATCATCAATGCCAGTGGGATTGAAAACTTCCTCTTCTAAATCTTTATAGGATTCCTCGTGGCTTGAATCTCTCGGCCATGCTACACGTAGAGAGCCGCCGATTCCAGCCGAATCAAGGGCATAAACGAGTACACCCTCTGTCGTTGTGCAAGCGAAGGCGTCACCTAAGTTAAATATGAAAAAGTTACTTAGTACAAATAATGAAATTTCAGGAAATACATTTGAAAGTCTGAAATAGTTGCCATTTGCTAGCGCCATCGCCGCTAGACCCCCAGAATCTTTTCAATCCAAATGAGTAATAGGAGCAAACATTTGAACTTACACAAAAAGGCAAACGAAATCTCGGATCAGAGAAAGCCCATAGTATTTTAGAATGCGTTATAATTGCATATTTGTGTGAATTTTCCTCGATGTAAAAAGAACATAATGTAGAGTACCGAACTAGACAAGTTGTGAGGAAAATCTAGAAGTGTGGAATGATAAAAAAGTGTTTAGTATAATCAGGCCTTGTCTCAAAATGAAATCCCAGCCAAAGTAATCAAGAGGCCTATGGTACCAAAACCCTTCGAAGATTAGTTAGTTATACACAAGAAGTGCAAAAACGATACAGTCGATAAGATTAATCTAAACCTTTGTCAAGGTAGTTAAAATGGGATATCTCCCATACTTTTTGGCAGAACATGAACCTAGGCTAATAATGTTGACTGCATACTTAGAACATCTTTATTTTTAATTATCTTATATCTAGAACATTAGGCAGGAAAATGATCATTTGGTTGGTAAACTTAAGATGGAGTGTAGCATTGTTTATGCCAAAATATGCTATCATTGATTATAATCCCAAAATATTCTAAATATATTCCCTACTGTGCAAGCACAATTTGATGCAAAATGGCATTACTATATAGAAAAATGGGAAATCAAAACATTTAGTGTAAGCCGATTTTCGTTAAAAGAATGCTTCTAAACATTTGAAATAGCAACAAATACATCAATCTTCATTGATATAGTGGCAAGTAAACAGTTTGCATTTCTAGCAAATCACATTTAATGAATTTTAAGTTAAAATGTCAACTAGTGAAATAATGTACTCAGATGGATATGTTTACAATAAGTCATAATACTTAATCCCATGAAGCAAATGCAGTTCATATATCAACCTAGAAATTTCACACATCAAA